TTCCCAGAATAAGGAATCCAATATCCCACTGTATTTAGCAGAAATTATAGATGCATTTGACTTTCATTTGTATAAACACAGCAATGAATCATAGTAATGTAGTTTCATTAATGTAAACATAGAAAACGCAATAATTAGTCACGTTTTCCTTTGAAATACTGTTTTGGAAATAGCTGTGTTTTTCTCCACAGAAAAAAGGAATTTTTCCAACTCTTTCTAACATACACTATATAAGAAGAAATGCTGCATACTGCAATAACATCTAACCTACATCTTAAATACATAGATTACTCCTGTAGTACTACCTTATTTCTAATTTTAGTGTTTCCAGGGTAAGATACAGACCTGTGCTTTATCTTTAATGCTATTGCATTGTCAAGAACGTGAAACAAGGCAGAGATTCGGAGTCAGCACAGTGTTTTGCACAGAGCCGACCAAGTTCACAGTCATTTCATGCAAAAGCTACACGTTTTAAAACACGCAACTAAAGGTCCTAATACAAGGAACAACTACATTTGTGTGAAGAGACCCACAAGAACAAGATCAATGTCTGTAAAACTTTCATTGGCAATCTCTCAATTTGAACCACAAATGCCTGCATTGGAAATAAATTTTCAATTGCTTCATACTTCATGCAGAGGTAAAAATACACTACAGCTTTAGATTCTGTGGAAAAACCGTCAGAGATTTCAGTTGTTTATTTGTTTATTACACTTACAGCATGGAAATAATCTTTATATTCTAATTTGTACAATATCTAGCACAATGTCAGCTGGTTCACAACTTGGGCTCTAAAACATTATAGCAATGCAAGAAACAAATACTAAACCATGTATCATTACAGAAAATGCACTACATCCAGCATCTCACACAGCTAGATGTGAGCTAGCTTCAAACTGGAAGCCATGCAAACATATTAGCTATAAATTGTATTCAGTCTAGCAAGTCCAAGATCTCAACAGGGATTCTTAGTTTGAGCACAGCACTGCACCAACCTGCCTATAGAGCTTCCAGTCTGCCATGGGCTCACATCCCACTGGCCTGGAGCCTGGGAACGTTGGGTCTGTCTGCAGAAGACTCTGCGGGAACACTCACAGTTATTTAGAGTAATGTGAGGAGCCATTCAGATACAGAAGCTCCACTTAAACTTTTTTCATTCCGCTATCGCAAGTCTTCGTATTAGCAAGTCAATCCAGATCCACTTGTAAACTACAGCTACTTTATTCTGCTTTGGCGTAGCAGACTCCCTAGTAGTCAGTATTCCCTAGAAGGTTTGCACCATTTTGGTACAGTAAATAGGCTGATAAAAATTAAAACAAAAGAACTGAACTTTGCGCCATTGGGATGCCCAATCAGTTTCAGATCATTAAAACACAGAGAAACATAACAGGAATAGGTAATACCTTCTTAAAGTGTTCCATGTATCAGTCTCTCAAAAAGAAAATGTATTCCATGATGAAAGGTTACATAAAAACTAAAATCATCTTTCTGGATATGGATTGATAACATGAGGGAAAGAAAAGGCAATCATAGATGGCTTCAGTTTCTTAAGACCTATTATTATGAATTCAAAGTCAGAGCTAATACACACATTAAAAGAAACCAAATTAGAGTCAAGTATGGAAATAGACCACTACGTTATCCAAACATTCGCTCTGTCTTGTGACAGTACAATAAGCAGAATGGATGCATTAAAGAAATTACCAGATTTTTAATCATAAACATAAAGTGTCTTAGACATAACTGCGTGCTATTTCATGGTATTACTGAATGCAAAAAGACACGTATAAGAGCAAAACCAGATATGGGCATTTCTTGATTCAACATTCCAAAATGCATTCAGTGGTACAGAGGGTGACTGCACTTTCAATTACTGGTTTCATATGCCCCTCCTACAAATCCAATACTGACAATACACAAAAACTGCAAGTATAACTTCTTAGGTCATGGTCACAAACCTCAGCCAATTATTTAAATAAATAAGTAAGTAAGTGCAAACAACTGTTGGGGAAGGGAAGAAGATTTCACTCTAGTGAAAGAAACTGCGTAGATAAATCCTGGAAATCTGACATTTTTCACAATACAGGAAACTAGCATAATCACTATTTCCTTAGAAGTTTCTTATCTGTTCCAAGATCACTGGCCATGTGTCAATTCTAAATGCAATACATTAAGTACCTTGTAAATCACAGAGGTGTCAGGATGAGATTTTTAACGGCAGAAGTGAGTCAAATTAAGGTAGTTCAGAAGTAGTTAAAATGAACAAAGTGCTAATTCTGACCTACTGACTTAAGAGAAGCCCACGAGAATCAGAAACAGCGAGCAGCTGGCAGAGGGGCTCACTGCTTGCCAGAAGCTGTAGGCAGCATGCATTCCATCACTCCCTCCCAGTGTATAGGGACTCTCAGAGTTCACTCTTCCAAGTCAGGCAGAAATTGCAGTAAAATTCAAAGCTTACCCCACCTAAAAAGCACAGCACTATGTTCTAAAAAGAAATGTCTTCAGAGGGCTAATCTGGCATTCAAATGTTGGGCATCATCCACTTTAAACAATATGTTTTATGTAAGCATAAACCAAAACCATACCCTGTTTTCTACATTCCCACAATCTTGGATTACTTAGGTTACTGGCACAAAATTGCAGCTTTCTTCAGTGCAGTCAGACCCAAGGGTCAACTTGATTCCTTTGAAATATTATTAGCTATAGTTTCTGAAATTGTAACTGTCTTCCACAGAATTGTTTGTGAAGTTCCCTAGAAGGAATCTAGGCTATTTTATTTATCATTGGTGTTATTTTTGCCTTCATTTATAAAGTTTTTCTTTCTAATTTGACAATCAAGTTAAAGAGATTGCAAATAATTATTATAATGCATGACACTGCAATCAGTACCTGTATTCCCATCATTACTTTCATACACACACCCCCCACAGTACGATATTTTCTAAAAAACTGTACCCCTTCCTGGTGACTGCAGCTAATCTTCAGAAACAGAGCCATAAGGCAGGAAAGGACTTACAAATTAGACTTCAGCCTGAGCCAGCTGTTTTTTCTAGTATCATTCCCTTTATGACCATCTGTCCCCCTTGCTAATATATTTTTCCCCCTCACACAGAGTCTCCACTACAATGAGTTGCCATTCTGGCTGACATACAAGTATCGATGGAAATGAAACTGGATCAAATCCAACTTTGTGCCACCCAATATTTGGTGCTTTGGTAAGGCATCTACTTGACTGCCGGTATAATTAAATCTGGCTTAAGTTTGCTTTAGTTTATACCCAGTTCACCTACAGTCCAAACACTATTACAGTTTGTTGCCACTAGGTCTATCTTCCTTCTAGACTATGTCAACAAGTGGAAGGAAACCATACAGTGTAGTTACACAAGAGTCTCCTCTCTGTAAAGTAATTTTTGTTTTTAAATGCACTAGCACACTCTACTGAACGAATCTACTGAGATCTTGTCTATTTATTAAAGGTGAATTCACAAAACAACTCTGCACTCCATGCTTGTGAATTCTTGGGGTTTCAAAGTTGGTTGCATGCCTGGTTTTGTCAACATTTTCCAAATCAAACTTTCTGGCTGAAAAGTCATCCTAAATCTTCCTTCTTGGGCAGAATTGCCAGAGACATAATGCAGAGAAATGAGGAAGAGAACAACTGGGAAGGGTTGAGAATGGGGAAAAAGAAATTAAATGGCATGTTGCTACATGGCAAAATTGTGTAGTCATGAATTCTCAAGAAATCTTTGCTGTTTTCAATGAGATCAGCATCAGAATAAATCTTATCGAGGAGTCCAACACATATGCTGTAGCATTTATTTTCCATATCTGTAACTAAAAAGGAAATAACTATGTAAGCATAATTCAGAAGACTGCCCAGTAGTGACACTGCCCAAAAAATCAGGAAGAACATGACAGTTACAAAGTGCATCATTATAATTTCTTCTCATGAACTGCTGAGAATAGTCAGCAATAACAGGAAGGGAACTGCTGAAAAAGCACAAGTGAGGTCACCTTTTTCTGGGTACTACTTTTAAACATCTGCAAAATATAGATGAGGCTTTTTAAAGATTGTAAATCAGGGACAGAGAGGGGGGGAAAGAACTACAGATGTGTGACATAAGGAATAAAGACCAAAGAAGAATAAAGGAGAGGCAGGAAAAAAAAAAAAAAGGGAATGAGGACAGAAGGTAGAATCCAAAGAAGCACATGCTGATGGGCTTTACATTTCCAACAGAAAATTAAAAGTTGACATCTGTGTCCTTACAGTGTTTAAAGTGAGCTCTTAGTTAGTAGCACTGCATTCATGAAGGAGGTAGAGGAAAAGAATGATATCTTAACTGAGCTCAGTTCTAAGCATAAAATTAAAGAAAGAAAAGAAAAAAAAAGAAAAACAAAAAAAAACAAAAAAGAAGGATTCAATTTCATGTCAGATCCTGGCAGCTGCTCAGCATTCTTTATTATCATAGTCCTGTTTGCTTGTTGAGTGCTGATAATGTGCCAGAGCTGTGGTGTGCTTTGGAGTCCTTCTGAGATCCTTAGCTCTGCAACTTTGAGACCAGATGGAAAAACCTACTTTTGAACACCATTCATAATGCCAAAGTTTAACAAATAATAGAGTGTTTCATAGACTTTGTTTGGAAAAAACCTTAATGGGGGGAATCAAGCTTTATTTCTATTGCTGTTGAAGCAGGTAGAGTTTTAAAAAAAAATCACCTACATAATTTTAATTTTTGCTTAATGACTTTTAGCTTTTAGCTACTAACCTTTTAGCTACTACCTGAAACTACAATAAATTAAAGTTCTTCTTGTAACATATTTAATTTCTACATTGAAAACATTTTCAGCAAATGAAAATGCTCAGCCACTTACAGAATTATGACATTCAAGTGTGTCAGTAGCTATGAATGCCTGCACAACAATCACTACCGTGTTACAGATATTGTCTGGCACCATCTACTGAAATGCTTCAGACATTCATCTTTTAACAAACAACATACCTTGAAAGATTCAGTTACATGCTTTGCTGTTTCTCCTGAACATCCTCCAGCCGTGCACTCATTCTGACAGCCCTAGAAGAAATAAAACCAGATTAAATTAAATTCAGTGCACATTGCAGAAAAGTTGATACACATTCAGTTAATTCCTTTTAGGGACAGATTGTATTGAATGATGACTCAGACTTCGCCGTCAGTAAATATATTACCAAGACCTTTTTGGCTGTTTCTTAGCACAACTTTCCACCTTCTAGGTTTTTAGTTTTACTTCAGTTGCATTATTTCACGCAACTGTTTTTCAGGGCTTTATAGAAGAGACAGCTTCTTAGATTAGATTATTGATCTGAGGTGCGGAAGGGTATGGACAACATCGTAAGTCTTCCATTCAAAGCTTAGATAAATTGTGGTTTTACACAATTCCATTAGATCCCAGTTTCCCTACTAAAACATCCACCTAACAGATTTGCTTTTTCTCAGAGTAGTCTGACTCGCCAGAATAGAAGAAAAAGGGAAAGAACAGTTTTTGTTAAATTCTTCATTAACTGAAAACAGTGATAAGGAATGCCCACCTATATCTATCTACATAATCAGAGTATTTTGAATTATCTACTGTTGAACTTAAGGGTTCAGCAACAGAAGGATAACACAAACAGGTGCAAGCCATCTACCTAAAAGCAAGATCCTCAGTTTCCACAGCATCAGGCTAGCATCTCTGTGGACCTTCCTGCGCTAGCTAGACCTTCCTTGCCAGTGGCCAGTAAATGCATATTACACCCAACAGCATGGGGCCAAGGAGACAAATACAGCCTTGGCAGCATTTCTTGTGTCCGAGTAGCCTTTAAGAAAGAGCTGGAAAGGTGAAGTGGGGCAGAAGTTTGGGAGAGGGAGGAAGATGCCAGGAGCAAGACTGGGGGATGGGCCATGAAGGGGATGGCTGGGAGAATGGCTCAAAGAAAGTACAACTGGCAAGATGGAGGGGATGGCAGAAGGGACAGCTAGCTGCTGAGACGAGGCCAGGGATGGGTGGGGATAGGGAAGCAGTCAGGCTGGTCAGAGGGGCTGTCTAAGGGGGTGAAGAAAAGACAGAGGCACCAAGGGATGTTGTTGCCAGGTCTGACAGGCTAGGGGCTTTCAACCCTACAAGGGAAAAGCCCTAGCAGGAGCCTGCACTGCCTGCTTGCCACTTGGTGGCTGCCTCTCACCCTGCTACCCCTCAGCCTTGCCGCATCTGGAGTGGGAAATCCCAGCCCAGGTGGCAAAGCCCCAGATCAAAAGTATAATCTCCTGAAGGAAAGAGGTGCACAGGAAACCCATCACTGTCAGCCTGTGAGATCCCCGCCCCAAGCTCTTAACCGGGGAGTGGCCCTCACCCTATGAGGAGGGCTGCATGTAGGGTGGATGGCAGTGCCAGGGAGACACCAGCACCACAGTCCCACAGCAGTCACCATCCTGTGGGGACAGGACTGGGACCACATGGCTCATAGGCTTTGACTCATGACATGCATAAGGCAAATAACATCATTTTTTCCCCTTTTTTCATATCTTGGGGTAAATGAAAAAAATAAAAGCAGTATCTTCAATGAGCCTTTAACAGTTAGCAGGCTTGCTACTAACAAAAGAAAAAGTAAACTCCCAGCCACAGCAGATCTCACTTCCTCTCCCCTCCCCCCAGGGAGGCCATAACATCCCTCCTGCCTTTTCTCTCCATCAGCTTTAACACTTCTGTTCCTCTATTTTTTTTTTTTTTCTTCCCTTCTAACCCTCTACAGTGAGACATGCAATCACGGCTACAGGCTCCTTCCTATCAACTAAAGAAGGAACTGCTGAGAGAAGTCACAAATCCTTTTACAATGTACCAATATGTTTCACCTTAAAACATTATTAAAAATATGTTTTATTTGCCTTAAAGCTTAAGGTTTTTTACTGCAGAAAGACAAGTCTTTTTGGTAGAGTTCAATGGTGTTCAGTGTCAGACCCTAGCAGGACTAAAGCATTACCTAAACTGAGGGACAGTCTGAACTAAGCACTGTATAAGAGGTCCTTGCTTTACTTGTAATACTTCCAATACTTCCAAATTCACTAGTAAAATCCCAGAAGGCCTCCATGACACCATCAGTTTATAATAGTTAAGTATTCTGCAGACAAATTAAGCCAACTCATTTTTCTTTGCACTACAGTGAATTAGTGTGGAGAGATGCTGGTTACCAGCTAACAGGATTGTAACCACCAGCTGCAGAGCAAGAATTTCCCAAGCAGCTCCAGCTCCATTGCTGGCTATCATCTAATCTCTAGCATGCAAAGTTAGATTTGCTAATAATAATTACTGGTGACAGCAAATACTGATAAATTCTCCACCTTTTTCTTCAGTTTTTTCCCATCTCTGCTTCAAAGTTGCCCTAAAGCAAGTGTTGGCATCAACACAGAGAGGACTGAAGCTCGATATAGTTTAATATTCTTTTTCATGATCTTTAAAAAGATACAAAACTTGTATGCGAATTTCAAGTGTGGACCACCTACAGGAACAGCCTCTAGGGGCTCGATCGCGTTGCCATTCAGATCAATGCTCCCACTGAACCCAATGAAGTCAACAGCCCATTTTTTGGGCATATGCCATGGGGCCAATCCTGTTCTCCATGAAGTCATTATGTATTACAGATTTAACTCATACTTAAAGCAAGTAGCTAACTGCCTTTGTTAACCGCACTGAGATTAAATTGAGTTAATCCCTCAGCACAAGAAAGACATACCACAATTACTTTCTAATTGATGGAGTCATATTTTAATGGCTCCATGGCTTTTGAATCTGAAACATGTTGTTAAATGCAATAGGGAAAATTACTCCCTGGTTTAGTGCCAACATTGCCAAGGGAGATATGCCAAGCATAAATTTGTCCTTTGTGTTTAATAGCACGGTAGATTTAAAACTGCATCCGCTAAAACACTGATGTTATCCTAAAGGTACGTTTGAGCCACTGGGTCAATGTCTCCTCCAAAATCACTCAAGTCTGTATCAAGTTGCTATGCAATTACACAAGCATGACAGTATTTCTTTGTTGTGCTGTACAGCTAACAACATTTTCTTTATGGTATATGTAACTGCTTTTTCTAAATTGGAAATAGGATGGTATTTCACAGTTTTCCTTCAAAAATACTGAAATTACACATTGATTTTATCATTACTGTAAAGCCTGCATGAGGAAAAAAGTCTAAAGCATTACACTAGATTAAATTTTGTTGAAAAATGGAGTTTATATCTCATTGTATCACTGACAAACACTACTAAGATAAAGACCTGCGGATGTGTAATTCTGTCTTTTATAGAACATCTCAATGCTATAATAATTATTGCAAATCCTTTAGCATTTATAACAGTAATCACAATACACTCAGGTGGATATAGTGCTCCCTCACAGTAGTACTTACTTCCAATCTAACTCTTATATAAAGAAGATGTAAGCCTTAGGGTGGTTAGACTCCTGTCAACATGTGAAGGACCATAGTGCGTGTAACACTTAGCAGTACTTTTGGAAATTCTATACTTAATAGTTGTCACCTGCACTTCTGCTAGGCCTTTCCAAATCTGGACATTCAACTCCTGCATTTGGTTCTCAGACTACATTAGACATATGGATTTTCAACATGCCTCTCAGCTTTCCATGCTGTCTTTGGCACACCTCCTTTAACTGCAATTCTGTTATGGGCATGACACTCTGTAGCCAAAGTATTGACCTGCAAGAGCACCCGACTAACTTCACCGTTACCATTTTGCCATGCCTCTAGTTATGCTCCTCTTTTAGGGTATCCTCCTGCATCTCACAGCTTCTTCAAAACAGAGAATCTACTTCTTTTATGCGGTCAGATCACTTGTTCGTCAGCTGAAAGGACCTTCTGCTACAAAAATAGGCCTATCTCCTGCCTAAACTCCCTAGACTTCCCAGACTACATGAGTCTGCCCTAGTTTTTCCTGTGCCCTCACACTTGGTGGCTTTTGAGACCAGTGGTAGTGCCGACGCCTTTGTTCTTGTTTGAGATTATCTGTTCTATAAACTGCAATTCTACCAGATCCTTTGTCAAACCACTGTTCTTAGGTTTTAGCTACCCCACTATCCCATAGGCTCATCCCCAGTTATGAAGTAGGAACTGAAGATTATCAGAAGCTTCATCACTGTAAAGTTAAGCTGCAAACTGCACTTCTTTAACCTATGGTGTATGACATTATTTAATAAAAAAAATAGTGCCAGTTCTCAAAAAAAAATATTTGCAGTTACCTCTATATGCCATGTACTTTGTCATCCTTTTTCAAAGGAATCTATTTCTTTAATCAGTCCCGCATTCACTTAATTTTCCCTGTTGTTTGATAACTCTTCTCACCACTGGGGAACAGAAAACTTTCCCTAGTTGTGGTGGGTTGACCCAGGCTGGAGGCCA